TTGTAGTAGATGCAGTACGTTGCAGTAGTTGTGGTATCCAACCTATCGGTTTAATATTCTTCGCTGTGTTTAGAATGCCATCGTTGCCGACTGGTTGCGTTGAGGAACACTCACGGGAGCGGCGATTCATCTAGCCTTAATAATGTTCCCTAGGGTTTGGAACCCACCATTGTTTGCCCCATTGTTACCAAACCCATTGAGTTGGGGAAGTGTTTTTAATGTGATAACATTCAAATGTGAGATTGATTTTCGAATCTGCTCCATGCGGAGAATCCAAAATAAGTTTCCCTGATCTGCGACCCTATGTGTTCGAGCCTCAGATTCTCTATTTTCTATAGTACGCGACATCCAGAACGCGCAATCCTTCTCAGATAGGTTTTTCATCAAATATATAATGTTTTGAGCTAATTTCTTCACCAAATATCTTAGATATAACGTTTATACCGAAGTCCAAGTCGCGCACTTCAAACTCTTTTTTCCAGCCCGATTTTCACCCCTCTACACGCATCTACAGCGACACCATTGTTGACAGCAAGAATCATGGCAAGAAGTGATTGTTAACAATGAAGCCTTAGCAATCGCATACATAGTGACCATAGAACACTGGTGTGACTCAGTTCATTCGAATACGATAATATTCGCCACCTTAATTTGCTGTAGGTTGCCTTCCACGTATAGGCGCTGGTCTACGACACTTTCGTCGAGACTCTCTCAAGTCTTCAATGATTGAAGTAACTTCAATGAAGTTACTATGCAGGAGATTGAAGACTTCAATTTGAAGTTCAATCTCCTGAATAATCCGAAGTGCTTGCGTATCACTTCAAGCGTGAGATGGGCCGACTGCGGGCTTTCTTTAACTCTTTCTTTTGAACCAGCGGTGGACTTAACAGAGCTTGAGACCATCATCGCCTTGGCAATCAACCGGTAGGCGGCTTCTTTAGGAGCCAGCTCAAGATGAAACTTCAGCCCGTAAATGCGTCCCCAACCCGTGAGACTGGTTGCTTGCAGAGTTCCTCCCGAAGCTTCTCTACCACTTCGTCCACGCATTCGCTTTTCTTGTAGCCTTAGTTGTTGGTACGGCCTTCTTGGGCTGCCGAGAGTTGTTTTAAGGCATCAACACCGACTTTTGATGCGCTACCTTTCGTCTAGGAGCGTCATTACGTGCGGCGGAACGCTCGTTTATTACTAGCGTCCTGCCCTAGAATCCAGACCCAAAGAGGCATGTGAAGCAGGGAGGCACCGACATATGGGGTGAACTGGAGCCGCGTTGGCATCGGTAGATCGCCGTTACGTTACGCAGATTCTCGGTCGTCACCGTACCATTGGTGACACCAACTTGTTGTTGATCACAGAAACCTTCACACTGTGGAGTTCACGCTTTCCTTTCATTACAAACCAAGCGCAAAAACCATGCAGGAAATGCACAGTGCATTATGCACTACAACCTCCTCCGTAGGAGCTACAGATACCCCGGAGCGAAGCGACGCGAGCTGCTAGTAATTACAAATTCCCGTGCTTCTCTCAATTGAACGGTGTGATTTGTTTTCATCCGTCATATTCAAACCCTAGTCCCATCAAAACATACCCGTGAATAAATACTCCTTATTGTAAGAAATTGTTCTACCGAGTCCCTTTACCGGTTATCTAATAGATCCAATCCACATACTGGATATTGTAAAGATCGTGATGATCACCACACGCTAGTGAGCATAGTGCCGAAGTGATATGGTACCGGCGGAAACTTC